AGTGTAATTAGTTTGGATCACGCTTTTCAAGATATATGTTCTTTGATCTGTCTGCCAATCCAAGCCCTTGACCTTCTGGAGCAAAAGGCAATCTGAGTGGTTGGTATCTTGGAGTTCTTCATCTGCAGACACGTCACTGGTTTATTGTCTTTTGATGGCAAACAGATTGGACCTATGACAAGAACGTAGTCGTGGTTTTCAGAGATTCTTGCCTTCATGTTGCGATCACAAAACTTCTGCCAATGGATCAAGTTTGTCTGCGAGTACTTAGAGAATCGGTAGACATTGAACGGAGGTTGTTCGTTTCCCGGTGATCCGTTTCCGTGCAATATAGAAATTGCTACTTCAAACTGCAACACAGCAATCAGATCAATTGTATTGTTGGTGCCTGCGCCTAGATGATTGTGGAGTGGATGTTCAAATGCCTGTTGTGGATCATTTGAAGCATAGAACGCGGGTGCATATGAGAACTCGTTGCGGCCGAAGGCTGGTTGAATCCCGTTTTCGTTGAAAGATAATAATGAAGACTGCCGCGTTCCATGAAAAATCTTGGTGGTCCCCATTTGATTTTGATGGTGATCATACAAGTATAAATCATTAGAAATGGAACGGATGAGGTAATGTTGACGGAAGAGGTGACTTCGCTTGCTTATCTTGAGATTGCACCCACGAGTATTTTTTGGCGGTGTTTTGAAAGGCGACATGGCAATTGTGATGAGTGTTGCGTTTTCGAAGTCGTTTTCGGATTTTGTTGGTAGAACTGGAGGTGGTGGGTCATCACCGTCTGCAGATCCAGAATGATCGTTTTCATCTGAGTGCGAGCTTGATCTGATTTTTGGCTGATGGTTACTAGTATCTGGGAAATGTATTTGAGCGGTGTTTCTATATTTTGTATTTTCAGCACCAGTACCATTTTTTAGCTCTTGAAGATCTTCCAAAATGCCTTCAAGAATCACAGCGTTGTGATGGCGGAAAGTATAACTCCAACCAGCCTTGGATTCAGCCAGTTCCTCAAACAACTTCTTGAGCTTGACCAAGTATTGATCACACAGGAAAGGGGCGGAAAATTGGATGAAATTGTCTGAAGTTTTGGGACTTTCATGAGCGGTAGGCTGGTGTGCGGCTTCACTTATGATATGGCTCCATAAAGTTTGAGAGGGTGCGCTGGTTGGATCAAATTCTTGATACTTGCTGTATAAACCATACACACAATTTTCACGGCGAGGTGTTAAGGAAGAATGTTGTTTGATGTCGAGAGTATCGTCACTAGACAAAGACATCAAGTTAACATCAGAGAGGGAACCGGAAATGCTTGCAATCACAATTTGAACAAAAAAAATTGTAACATACCCATGCACAAGATTGTTGAGGATGGATTTGTTGATTGAGGATTGGTTTTCAATTGTTTGAGCACTCATATTTGATAGAGTATGGGTTCTGTGTTCTAGTAGCGTAAAAAAGGTGATGCAGATGGAGAGTAGTAGCTGGAAAAAGGTGATGCAAGTGGAGAGTAATTGAGGAGGGAAGGTGAAACACGAGCCACCAGTCCACGATCCTTATAAAATTGGCACTCTTGAAGTTGGACCTTCTGTGCACTTGCTGAAGTTCAGGCGGAGTGTGGACCAAGCTTAACTAGAATCCTCTCGTGAAGACTATAGAGTCGTTTGCGGGCAGGTCTGGGCGGCAGGGAGGGTCGCTTCGCAACAGGCCACCCACCCCCACAGAGGCTGGACTTGTGTTACGTTCGAGTGTGGACGAAGCGGTTGATATGGTGGCCAGTGCCATGTCTTGTTCCTTTATATTCAGTTGCTCCTGCCCTGGAGAAGTGCCCACCTCGGAACAACAATTAAACCTAGTCAATCACTCGTAATAGAAGCAGAAGATGTCTCCCCCATCAACCCAGTCGAGTCGCAGTCTTCATCACTCAGTTTCATTTAATTTAGAGATTAAATACTACTAATTTTTTATTAAGTTGTATTCTCAAAATAATAGTTCAAAAACATCATTGAGTGTATCTACATAGAATGTATTACTTGAAGTGCGCAATGTCAAAACAATCAGCACTAAAAAAAAAAAAAGAAAAAAAAGCCAGTTCAGTCATCTGTCATCACTCAAATTTTCTATTCAGCTATTCAGTTGAGCTGGTGGATTCATATCACATTTCATTCACATATCATCCCACTCTCCTGGTCTGATCGTTTTCTTACAATATTACAACACCCTGCAGGCTTGATTATAAGAGATTCCAAGACCAGATTGCAGGATAGACTTTAAATGCAATCATATCAAAAAAAACACCCAAAGAAAACAAAAGGCCGCACAAGATGGCCAGCAAACTGGATGTTTTTGCCCATGTAGAAGTACATCAGTTCAGATTTGACCGTTCAAAACAGTTGCTAGAACTTTAGCATTCAAGATCCACTCTGAGATTTGATCTCTGGATTTTGAAGAGTCAAATAGATTCTGATTGATGATCACAAAATTGGCCATGCCAGTTTTCCAACGCGTAAACTTCCAGTGAGATGATCAGTGAAGCCAGCAAAACTAGCATGGATTGCGCAAATCCATCAATGATTTGTTGGAGGCTTTCGATCCTTTTTGATGGATACCATCCTTGATGATCATCGTTATCACTGGGACCTGCCTTTCTTTGAGTGAATGCCGCATGGATCCCCAAGAAAGGTGACACTGATGAAACCGGAAAGTCTGATCCTAAAGCCAATCTTACATTTTTTCTTGATCAGAGTCCACGGTCAAAAGAAGAAAAGAAATCTTATAAGCCATCTGTAACAGTCACACAAATGATATGATTGCTGTGATGTATCAGGTTGAAGGTCTTACTTTAACAAGCTGTTCCATGCATAGGCTCCACGTATTCTTAATTCACTTCCCAGCCAAGCCTCAGCTCCCATCCGCTTCCACAAATAATCAGATTCGGATTTGCAGATTTCAAGCTTGGGTGACTTACCATGGGAAATATAAAACAAATCTGTCCAAGGTATTTTAAAAACATATTGTGTTTCCAATAAAGCTTGGAACCGATCTTGTTTTGATTTTTTTGTAATCCTAGAAGAGTATGCATTTATTTTGTATTTTTTTAAATTTTATTATGCCCAAAACTCTGAGTGTCAGGGAACCTTCACAACAAAGTTCCTGCGGTGTCATGCATGCTTGAATTTCTATATCTTGCAACCATAAAGCTCTTGCCCGATTGCAAATTGCTGTCATTTTATTCGTCAACTCATTTCCCTCATTTGGTCCATCCCGACTTTATTCACTGATCACATTGCACCATTCCCTTTTGTCCAGCCCATCTTTTGACACTAATTGACTCGCTCCACCTCAGCAATTCTTTTCAACCAACCATGCTGTATGTTTACTACCCTCCCAACATCAAGGTTATTGCGCTTCAGATGTCATTAGAAGGAAAATCTAGGCTTGTGATCCGGCAAACACTTGGCTTTCAAATCTCGAACCAATCTTTCATTCTCTGGCTAGAACTTTACGAACAAACCCAACATGTGATTCAAAATCCCAGGGAATTTGAGCGCCTCAGCCGGCCTAGAACTCTATCATCCAAAGATTGCATGTTTATGCTACAATTGGTGTGGAATGAACCTGGCCTTTTTTTGGACAAGATTCATGAGAAGCTATATCACTCAACAGGCACTTTGCTCTGTGTGTCGGCGGTTCATGAGAATCTGGTGGTTAACTTGTCAATAACTCTGAAGAAGGCGGAAACACTGAATGAGTCATCACTTGATTAATATGTAGATTGCTAAAGCTGATATCTTTTGAGCAGTCATTGGGCAGATGGGAACAAAACATGGTACTAAGGCATTTCTTGTAGACCACATCTGCAATAAGATTTGCAAAGTGCTGGGTTTTGGGCCACCAGATGATCAGATATTTGAGACTGACTTACCCGAGGCATCAAATAGCCACCAAAGTGCAACCAGGAATTCTACATCTTACCCACTATCCTCAACAACCCATCAAGGGCCCCATCCAAATATTGCTCCCTTCCTCCCAACTGTCAGCCATAGAGTACATGTCACATTACCTTTCATGTACCAAGTAACTGAAACACCTGTACTTATGTACATAAGTACTTATCCATAATGTTGATTACCTTTGACTCTTGTTATCTTATCATAATCTTTAACTTATCTTATCTTACATTATCTTATCTGATTAATTACTTATCTATTTTATACATACCTGTGTTATACATATGTAATTACCAGTTACCTTTCACTCCTTTATCCGTGAAATACCTGTACCACAAGTCATCCCTGATCTACAGTATTTTCATGGACAAATATCTTTATAAATAAATATGTACATGCTTTGAATATTAAGTATCAATTAATCATTGAATGAATACAATCAATACATGTACAGTGGGTAGACAGTGAAAAGTGGCTGCTTATTTTGGATTCCAGAGCTCTGAAACACAAACTTGAAGTCATGAGACTTGGTCATGTGGTGCATAATAGCTCCCAAAAAATGAATATGAAATAATAAAAGCAAAAAATAAAGTTTGAAAATTTGTGAAAAATAAAAAATAAACTCGATTTTTTTCGAAAGCTTTGATATTCATTTTGGGGGAGTGGAAGTGCTGAGAGAAAGAAAGAATGGAACATGAAAAGAATGATTATAAATGAAAAAAATTGGAACCAAAAAAGGTTTGACCAGGTTGGTGGTCCAGATTGGAGGCCAAAACAGTAAATTCTAGTGCTTTGCTGCAATGTGGGCTGGTGAATGCCCCAGTCAACAGCTGTTTGAATCCATCTGAAAACCAATTTTCTAAAATTTTCATTTATAATCATTCTTCTCATTTCCCAATCTTTTTTTCTCCCAGCACTCACACTCCCCCAAAATGAATAGCAAAGCTTTTGAAAAAAAATCAATTTTATTTTTTATTTTTCACAAATTTTGAAACTTTATTTTTTGCTTTTATTATTTCATATTCATTTTTTGGGACCTATTATGCACCACCTGACCAAGTCTCATGATTTCAAATTTGTGGTTTGGAGCTCTGGAATCCAAAATAAGCAGCCACTTTTCACTGTCTAGGCACTGTACATACTGATTTTAATAATGACCTCATTATTTATTTTGTGATCTTAATAATGACTTCATTCTTAATTATCCTTGTCCTCAAAGTCATCACGGACAAGAACCATTAAAAATAAAATATTCATGTATTGTTTTGCATTACCAATTGAATTAATACAATCAATACATGTACTGATCCTTATTTGTTATTTTAAGTTGAAGGATCTGTTAAGCTGTACACGTCACAAATACTAGTTACTGATCCTCTAGTAAATACTATGACAGCTCTAACAGATCATTACAAATAAAGATCAGTTACTCAATTAAACCTGCTCTTCCCCTTGGTACTTTCACCCGTGATTCAGAGCACTTCTTCATTTCCCCATGTAATATTCTGGAACTTATAATCCGTGCCACCTCCACTGATTAATCCTCAGAATATGCAGGCACCATTTAAACCAGTTAACATTTATATTGATACAGTACATGTAACCAAAATAAATCTAGTCTACATTTATTGTTCTTAAGCTTCAGTAAAACTTACTCAACTTATCCACAATATTCATAGCCTTGCTGAATATTCCCATCAACAATACCTATTAATCTTCAACTAATTTTGTTAAAGCTTAATAAGTATTGTTAGCCCATAAACTTTTGGGAATAAGCAAATCAATCCCAGGTGAGTCTTAGTACCCTGGATGCCTATTATGTCAGCCTGCTACTAATCAGAGCCAGCCTGAACATAGCTTTTACTTATAAATTAGAGATATTATTACTTACTTATGTACGTACAATTAAAACAATAAAATATACTATTTAAATAAGTGGAAACACTATAATAGAGACATTATTACACAGTACACTCACTTTGTAATATTCCATGAGAAAAACATTTAAATAATTAAATAAATAATGAAAAATAACATTTTTAACCAGAATCTCCTGATAACTTCTGAACCTTAAGTATAACTCAGAATATTATTGAAGATTCTGAATCTACATGCAAAATAACCTAGGGTAGCTGGCCAAGTGTACCCCTGAATTATTACTCCTTCACTTACTTTTTAGTCCTTGAGTGATATTGGACCAAAATACACTGTAGACCCCTCCATTTACATCATACTACATGCTGTAAAGGGGCTACATGTGTAATTAAGGTTCATGCAGTTTGGGAAAAATCTACAAACAAGGTTTACATCATTGAAACCTTAACTACATGAGCACAGACTACAGTAGGGGGTATCAAATATAACCAAATCCACCGTTATTTAATTGACTGGTTTGAAAAAATCCACCCTTTTTTAAACATGTTGGTTCTTCATTTAACCCCTTTTGGGGCCCATTGATGCAAAAAAATATTTTTAAAAAAGTGACTGGTTTCTAATGGTGGATTTCCTATATTTGATACCCCCTAGTATTAAATTGTTTGGGATGATCTGTGGCCCTTTTTGGCCCAATTGGGACAATTACTCTCTTGAGGATCAACCCATGCATCATGCAGTGCTGAAATAGGCTACAGGAGTGTTACAGTTTTGTCAGAACACCCTGTAAATATGGTTACAAGCATTACATCATCTCCTTGACACCTGTAACCAAGCTCTACAGGTGCTACAGATGATCAAAAGTTCCCATAGGCTTAGTAGGAGAGTTGTAGCAACTAGAGAGACTCCTGAGTTCGCCTCCAGAGGCCCAGAATGGGTATTTAAGGGCCCCTTCTTCCCCCTGAACTTGGTATCCCCATCTTCATCATTACTTACCAACATAAACCCTCACCAACAACCAGTTTCAACCTGCCTTTGGCCCTGTTCCTGCTGTTTGCAATCTGAATTTCAACCTTTCAAATCAAAACCTGTTCCCCAGCACTCTCCCAACATCTCTCACCCACTTTTCTGAGTGCCTCAAGAACAGTTCCCCCCTCCTGAAGACCTCCTTGGCTTAGAGATAAGTACTAGTAAGTATTATTTCTTTGTTTCTTCAGTTGTAGGCTATTTCTGGGCATACTCCTTTATTACAAAGGACTAGAGCATCAGTACCCCCCCTGTAACCCAGGACCTGATATTAGAGGGCACCATAAAAACCCCTGTAACTCAGGCCCCTCTGTAAATAAAAACTATTAAGTTTTTATTTACTATTTTCTTTTATTACACAAACCTCCCCACTTTTCACGTGTCACCCACACGTGTACATATCCTATTATACCTTTGCACCTAGTGTAGCTAGAAGAGTTTTGGCTCTTGGCATCACTCAGGCTGACATATTAATACCAAGTATTGATCCGGATGCGCTGTTGATAGCAAGCCTCTCAGTAAAGACCATACTGACAGAGTGAAACCTCCTCATTACAGGACTGGTATTAATCACCCACTACCTAACACTCACCATGCTCAAACACTTCAGTCAACTCATAGTAACAACCTTTTACTATAAAATACTCAGGTTAGTTACCCAGAGGCTGACACCAACTGTCAGTGCCGGTCTCTAGAGTGACTAGGCGTTGATGGGGTGGTAAGGGTCTTACTATAACTTTCGTGTGAAAGCCAGTAGAAATAGAACCTCACCTCGACGCTAGTAAGCGGAGGGGTTAAGCACCCTTAGTAAGGGGACGTACGCGGTATGAGCGTCGCGTCGCCGGGCTTAGAGCTAAGTAGTCTCTCTTCTAGGCTACTGTATTGACTTTACAGTAGTCTAGGAAGGTTGGTACGGAATAGAAGATGGGGGAAGGTTTTTAGAAGGTTTTAATAGTAGATTATAAACCCCACTCACAGGTTGTATTGTAAGGTAGACGGGTTTGTATGGTAATAACTGGGGGGAGGATTCTTGGGAAGAAGACCTCCCCCTTAAGTATTACATAGGCAGGGGTCAACCTGCCTGTGAGACCGGTGAGGCCTGCAGAGGATCATTTATGTATAT